CCAGTTAGCTGTGATCTAGGACCAGTTTGCTGTGATTCTTGACCCGGTTAGCTGTGATCTAGGACCAGTTTGCTGTGATTCTTGACCCGGTTAGCTGTGATTCTTGACCCAGTTAGCTGTGATCTAGGACCAGTTAGCTGTGATTCTTGATCCAGTTAGCTGTGATCTAGGACCATTTAGCTGTGATTCTTGACCAAATTAACTGTGATTCTTGACCCAGTTAGCTGTGATCCAAGACCAGTTAGCTGTGACCTAGGATCAGTTAGCTGTGACTTAGGATCAGTTAGCTGTGATCTAGGACCATTTTGCTGTGATTCTTGACCCAGTTAGCTATGATCAAGGACCAAATAGCTGTGATCTAGGACCAGTTAACTGTGATTCTTGACCCAGTTAGCTATGATTCTTGACCCAGTTAGTTGTGATTCTTGACCCAGTTAGCTGTGATTCTTGATCCAGTTAGCTGTGATTCTTCACCCAGTTAGCTGTGAATCTTGATCCAATTAGCTGTGAATCTTGATCCAGTTAGCTGTGATTCTTGACCCAGTTAGCTGTGATTCTTGATGCAGATAACTTTTCCTTTTTTATTAAGTCATCACACATCACCTGCCATTAAGTCATCACACATCACCTGTCATTAAGTCATCACACATCACCTGCCATTAAGTCATCACACATCACCTGTCATTAAGTCATCATACATCACCTGTCATTAAGTCATCATACATCACCTGTCATTAAGTCATCACTCACCTGTCATTAAGTCATCATCACTCACCCACCTCGACTCAAGAAAACGTAAGGCATCATTAGTCGGACCTGACCTTTCCACCATCACTGTCACCTCGGTGGGCTGTGTACATTTTAATTTTGTCTTTTCCCTCTCCTTCCCCTCTCCCCTCTCCTCTCTCCCTCTCTCCTTCCCTCCTCTCTACCCCCTCTTCTCTCCCCATCTCTCTCCCTCCCCCTCTTCTATCCACCTGATTTCTTTTCCTCAGTTGTAATGAATTTCACAATGTATGTAATAATATACATGTATAACCTTTAGCACTAGGGTATATTTGGACTGAATGACTCCCCATGACTGGTTTGGTTAGGTTAGGTTAGGTTGAGATGTAGTCCATTAGCGGCTCGTCCACGTAACACTGAAGAGCCCATGTGATAAGGGATTCCACAAGGTGTAAATACCTAACCAAACACAGCTGCCCCCGACCACCCCACGCACGCCCCCGACCACCCCACGCACGCCCCCGACCACCCCCACGCACCACACACACACACCTAAAGAAAACGTCATTGCAAAATAGTTTGATGTTTCACGCCCGTCTTGAGATGCCCAGAGTTGTTGTGTCGAGTTTCGTCGTCTAGGGCAAACTGAGGAGTCTTATCATAGTGTGAAGTTGAAGGAAATGTTTTGGGACAAAAAAATAATAGGAGCGGGAAGTTAACTGATCTTTGTGAAGTTGTTTAGGTGTGTGTGTTCGTTCCTTCACATGCCACAAAGGATTTCCGTAGAACGAAACTTGGGGATCCTTATGGCCCTCCACTATACCAAAGTGAACTTGTATAGATGACTCACACTTCCCCACTTCATGCTCATCCTGCCCTCTCCGCACCGCCTTGTCCTGCCCTCCCCGCAAAGCCCAGTCCTGCCCTCTCTGCATGCCCAGTCCTGCCCCTCCGCACCGCCTTGTCCTGCCCTCCCTGCAAAGCCCAGTCCTGCCCCCCTCTGCACAGCCTTGTCCTGCCCCTCACTGCACCGCCTTGTGCCCTCTCCTGCAACGCCCAGTCCTGCCCCTCCGCACCGCCCAGTCCTGCCCTCTCCACGCCCAGTCCTGCCCCCTCTCCGCACGCCCAGTCCTGTCTGTCCTTTCCTCCTGCAACGCCCAGTCCTGCCCTCCGCACCAGCCCAGCCCTCTCTGCACCGCCTTGTCCTGCCCTCTCTGCAACGCCCAGTCCTGCCCTCCCCTGCACGGCCTTGTCCTGTCCTCCCCACAGCCCCAGTCCTGCTCCTCTCTGCACCGCCCAGTCCTGCCCTCCCCTGCAACGCCCAGTCCTGCTCCTCCCTGCACCGCCCAGTCCTGTTCCTCTCCTGCACCTGCCCAGTCCTGCCCTCTCCGCACCGCCCATCCTGCCCTCCTGCAACGCCCAGTCCTGCCCTCTCCGCACCTGCCCATCCTGCCCTCCGCACCGCCCTCTCCTGACCTGCCCTCCCTGCACCGCCCAGCCTGCTCCCTCTCTGCACCGCCCAGTCCTGCCCTCCCCTGCAACGCCCACCCCCTCTCCTGCACCGCCCAATCCTGCCCTCTCTGCACCGCCCTCTCCTGACCTGCCCTCCTGCACTGCCCATCCTGCCCTCTCCCACTGCCCTCCTGACCTCCTCCCTGCACCGCCCAGTCCTGCCTCTCCACACTGCCCTGTCCTGTCCTCTCCTGTGCTGCCCAACCCCGCTGAGCCACGACCTCCCACCCAAATCCACACCTTGTCATGCCCCACCTCACACTGCCTCCCTCATCCTAGCTCATTTATTCTCCTTCTCCGTCCCAAATCAACTCATCCTGCTTTGCCCTCCCTGCCCCGCCCCGGCCCTGCCCTGCCCCGTCAATTGAGATTATCAACCAGGTGTGAGATCGTATTACCGGAAGAGTAATATCTTCAACATTTAATAAAAATAATAAATCACCTAAGAATTGAGGTGGTCCTTGACGATGACATTGTTGACGAACGTGTGATTATGAGAGGAAAAGGTGAATAGGAAATTTATTCTGCGTACAGTTAAATTGTCGATTAGCATTTTATTTATAACTTTTATACTATATATATATATATATATATATATATATATATATATATATATATATATATATATATATATATATATATATATATATTGGCTTATTGATCTTATTTATATTCAATTTATATACGTTCGCATTTAAATTTAAAATAATTTATAACGGAGGACTTTACACAAGCGAGTGTTGTGTACATTAAGGACGTGGAACAAGGCAGAAAGAAACGTGGATACTGTTGAGATGGTTGAGCACAAGTGTTCAAACTTGAAATACTGTTATCTAAAGTTAGGCAAGGTAAACAACTAGGAACTAGCTAGTTATACACATCACCTGATCTCAAACTAATCCAAGTTTATTTACGTTATCTTTAAGAGCGTGGTCTCAGGAGTCTTGACTAATTTGTTAACATTATAATCAAAATTTCAATACCTACTGCACCAAAATATATCAAACTCTTAACCTCCATAAGACAAGTCGTATTAACTTAGATATTTTTTTTTTACAATGAATGACTCGTTCCAAGTTGGGTAAGCGTTCAGTCCATTAAAATATAGGATTCCAAGTTGACACATCCGGCCAGTTTCGGAAGTTGGGCTGCAACAAGAAATTGCAAGGTCAAGCCCGAGTACACAGCGAATACAACAATTACTTAAAATTGAAGTTTATTTAAATATATTTGAATTAATTATAATAAAAGAAGAGTTTCTAAAAAATAAAATAAAGAGGAAAAAATTAATAGATATTTTATTTATACCCGACAGTGTCAGTCCTTGTGTCAATATTTACGGCCAGATTTCACCACGTGTAGTTATGGTGTTAAAGCGTGTAAGCCCACATGTTTACCTCTGTGTTAGTCACCTACAGTACACTAAAGCACTTATCATTAATGGTTTGTTACCGTTATGTAGCAGTGTGAGAAAGCTTTATTTTAGCAGCCACGCTCACTCTCTCACCAAACTCCCTCACCTCTCACATACCGATCCCTCATCCTCCCTCACACTCATACACTCTCCATTACACTCATACACTCTCTCCCTCACACCCATACACTCTCTTCCTCACACCCATACACTCTCTCCCTCACACCTCTACACTCTCTCCCTCACACCCATACACCTCCCCCTCACACCCATACACCCTCCCTCACACTCATACACTCTCCTCACACCCATACACTCTCTCCCCACACCCATACACTCTCTCCCTCACACCCATACACTCTCCCCTCACACCCACACCTCCCCTCACACCCATACACCCTTCTCCCTCACACTCATGCTGACTCTCCCCACACCCACACTCTCCTCACACCCATACACCCCCTCCCTCGCACCCACACACTCTCTCCCTCACACCCATACACTCTCTCCCCACACCCATACACTCTCTCCCTCACACCCACACCTCCCCCTCACACCCATACACTCTCTCCCTCTCAACACCCATACACTCTCACACCCATACACTCTCCCCTCACACTCAAACACTCTCCTCACACCCATACACTCTCCCCACACCCATACATTCTCTCACCCATACACCCCTCCCTCACACCCACACACCCCCTCTCTCCCCACCCATACACCCCCTCACACCCATACACTCTCTCCCTCACACCCATACACCTCCTCACACCCATACACTCTTCCCCCACACTCACACACCTCTCTCCCTCACACCCATACACTCTCCCTCACACTCATACACTCTCCCTCACACCCATACACTCCCCTCACACACCCATACACTCTTCCCTCACACCCATACACCTCCCCTCTCAACGCACACACCCTCCCCTCACACACCCATACACACTTCCCCACACCCATACACTCTCCTCACACCCATACACACTCTCCCTCTCACCTATACACCCCCTCACACCCATACACCCCCTCCTCACACCCATACACTCTCCCTCACACCCACACCTCTCCCCTCACACCCATACACCCCCTCCCCACACTGGCCTCACACCTCCACTCCCCCCCCACCTCCACATCCACATTCATCCACTCCACACACACACACACACCCACATTCACCCATCCACTCACACAATCTCCACACATCCACCTACTCCACACACCCACTCTCACACACACACACCCACACACACACCCACATAATCCCCACACATCCACATACCCGCACAACCACACACCCTTCCATACATCCCTCAGAAGGTGTGTTAGAGGCAAGACTCACCCTGGCCTTATCCAGTTGGGACAGCGCCTGCCTCTCTGTCTCACGCCTCAGGTTCTCTCTCTCCTCGTCCAGCGAAAGATCCGAGGATGGCTGAGAAAAGTTCGAGTCAGCCGAACCCTGTAGAGACAAGACCAGTGTCAGTTCAAGTGCTAGGAGGGCATGGGGTATGGGGGTATGGGGGCAAGGGGCATGGGGTAAAGGGGCATGGAGCAAGAAGAAAGATTTGCGAGAAGAGGAAGAAAATGAGTTATATGGTAATATCACAAAATAGTTCACCTAGACATCAGTAATGGATTAAAATAATGTACAATTAAAACACTTCATATAATAGTGTACATAAACAGGGAATACTTGTTTATTTTACTCTGTATTTATATGCAAACAATATATAACAAAACAAGTGTAGGTGAGTTGATTTCCTACTTTATGAACAGTCAACAAAATCAATCAATCAAAAGTACCTGAAAAATAATAGCAATTAACCTGTATTTAAAAGTAACTCGTAGAAAAGAAAGAGTTCAAATCAATATCATCAGCTGCCTTAGCAATATGTACAGTAATGGGACGATTTAGTTTTGTTTTTACTGTTGACTCATTGAGTATAGGAGAGTTACTGAGGTAAACAAGGAAACAAATGAAGAGCGCTACCCACAACCATCACCAACTAAACTCTGTTGCTGTACACGACTCTTCCAAGTTTTACCCGACAGTTTCCAACAATTAAAAGTTACCGAGTGGTGGACACAATAAAAGAGGCAACGGCCGTACGTACCAGAATCACGTACACTATACTGACATTATAAACTAGAATCACGTACACTATACTGACATTATAAACTAGAATCACGTACACTATACTGACATTATAAACTAGAATCACGTACACTATACTGACATTATAAACTAGAATCACGTACACTATGTTGACATTATAAACTAGCAATGGACGTAACCTCAGACCCACGTACACTCGGCAAAAAAAATTATCTTTCAGAAGGGATCCGATTAATTTGAAACTGAACAAACCTGTTGTCTCGCTTAGGTTGGTAGGCGTGATTGAGACATTTCCTACCTATAATGGCGGAATAATTTAATTATGTCATCCGAAATATAAAATTAATACGTTGCAATAAGATCTGTGAATAACAGTATGTCTCAAGGGCCTTTATCAAAAACCTTCGTTCATTGTGTACACTGCTGTACTGTACCATGGGAGGTGAGGTGGCATGAAAGGCCCAGTAACACCACCACCTGTCTGCCGAAACAACACCCTCACAACTGCGTCCATTCATGTGATTTATTCAAACTGGTTTTTTTTAACCTTAGAATCCCCCCCCCTCCCACCCTACGCCCCCCACGCACGAGTATGCACACTTCCTCACTGCACGCACAAGTATGCACACAACCAAAATCCACAAACGCACGCCCTAAAGATTATAATAACTGTTTCTGGAGGTCGTCGCCGCCATTATTGACCAAGGAAAACTAAACAGATGCATACTGGAACACTTTGTACCAACACGACCAGGACCACCATCCTCCCCCTCATCACCCAACCCCCTCTCCTCACTACCCAACCACCCTCCTCACCACCCAACCACCCTCTCTCACTACCCAACCACCTCTCCTCACCACACCCATCCTCTCTCTCTCCACCACCCAACCTCTCCTCACCAGCCCATCCCCCTCTCCTCACCACCCAACCACCTCTCCTCATCACCCATCCTCTCCCCACCACCCAACCCCCCACCACCCAACCCCCTCACCACCCAACCACCCTCTCCCTCACCACCCAACCAATCTCTCCTCACCACCCAACCCCCCCTCTCCTCACCAATCTCTCTCCTCACCACCCAACCCCCCTCCTCACCACCCAACCAATCTCCCCTCACCACCCAACCCCCTCTCACACCACCTAATCCTCACCACCCAACCCCCTCTCCTCACCAACCACCTCTCCTCACCACACCCAACCCCCTCTCCCACCAATTCAACCCCCTCACCAATCCTCTCCTCACCACCCAACCCCCCTCTCCCTCACCACCCAACCCCCCTCTCCCTCACCACTCATCCCCCCTCTCCCTCACCACCCAAACTTATCTCCCCAAGGGCTACAATAACTTCCCAAGCTTCCGGGTACAGGTGACAGGTGACAGGTGAAGAGGGGATAATTAAAGAGTGGTGTGGATAACGATTGAGTGGTGAGTGGCCAATGAGGGAATGGTGAGAGGATTGTGAGTGATTGAGTGAGTGAGTGGGTGAGTGCCCAGTTAATAATGAGTGGGTAATGAGGGAATGGCGAGTGAATAATAAACGAGTGGGAGGTGGCCAGTGAGTGGGACAGAGTAGAGTGATGAGTGTGGCCCCTCACCATTGCTAGAATGGCCACTAAACGGTAGGAGACAACTGTACGACTTCCCACAGCCGTCACGTCCCCCCACAGACGCCACGACCTCCCACAGACGCCACGACCCCTCCACTGCCGCCACGTCCCCCCACAGCCGTCACGTCCCTCCACAGCCGCCACGACCTCCCACAGCCGCTACGCGACCTCTCCCCAGCCGCCACGACCCTCCACAGCCCTTAGGCCCTCCTGGCCGCCACGACCTCCTAGCCACTTCTGACCTCTCCACAACCCTACGACCCTCCACAGCCCCTCCCGACCCCTCCTGACCGCCACGACCCTCACAGCCGCCGACCTCCCCAGCGCGCTACGAAGTTGACGAAGATGTGTACATTAACGATAATAAAATATTCAAATAACATCTTGGCTATAAAGGTAAATTAAATAATATACCCCATACGTTAAGAACTTCAGCGTCGATAAGATGGAACTACCCAGCGACACTTGAAACACAGGGAGCGGATCCAGAGAGGGGGTCCTGACCAACACTGTAGAAAAATCCAATACTTTCCTTTAATGCAGTATTGTACTCAGGCGTTTGTTTGTGTATAGTAGAAAGTAATTACTATTGACCTCATAATAACTCCTAATATCAAGTGAATTGACCTCAAAATACTGATATTGGTCAGGTTTCAAAAAAATTCTGGGGTCTTACAGCGCCCCCCCCCCCATAACCCCCCCAGTTCAGTGGGCTCGCCGTGCTCGCCATGTTCCCCTGCCCACAACTTCTTGGACCCCCTTCTTTAGTGTTCCTGGATCTGCCCCTGGAACAGCTCCTCTACTTCCCTGTTAAACTCGTCCTTTTATGAGTCTCATAATTTTCTTACTCTTCTGTCTCGTCCTGAGGCTGAGGCTGACAATCAATTGATCTTCTAAAACAAAATTCACAAATATATTAACTGAGGCAAATAAAGTGTTTCTCTCTCCTTGAGGCCACACGTGACCCAACCCATTGTCACACATCCATTCTGCGTGATATACAGTATGGATTATTATGTTGTGAAGCAAGTATTCTAAGTTAGTACTTCCACTAGTTATAATCAATTAACAATTCTAGAGATGCACATCTCTCGCGTTATCAGTGACCAGCGATAAATGCCAAATATTGTTGGCAGATGACCAACGGAGCCTTACCCAGTCCCAGGTCAGTGTTGATGACTCGTGCACGTATTAATCTAGACTACGACCTTGTTGGCTTCAGATGTTACAGCGTCTATATAACATGAACAACACAGAGCAACAGGAGTAAGGTAGTAGACCTGGGGACGTGCGGCTGCGAGTGGCAAGATCGGCTTTAAAAAAAAAACTCGGCAGGCGCACCACTCGGCGAATGTTTGTAGCAAACTTTGATAACGGAGTTTTAACGAACTTCCTAACTGTATAACAATGTGACACTGTCACCTAGACTATACTTCTCCATTATCTTCCACATTAACAATATAAATTTTGTTACTGCAAATTGGAATGCGCTTTACGAGGCTAAACGCAAGGATACCCTCGACTGCTTTGTTTTGCTGGCCGTCGACCTCTCAGGTCATTAAGGCTGAGCATAGGGACCCGGTACCCTAACTCGATAAACATTGACAATAAAATTTGTTGAATAAAAGTTTGCTTATAAACAATACATAATTAATGTATAAGACACTTATAATAGAATCATGCTGCCACGTACAATTAAACCCTAATCCATTATATCACAACTGATGAGTGATGATGGGCTTGTTGATGGCTGCCCTCCGCCTCGCCAGCCTTGGTGATGCCACGACATCCTCAAGTTACATTCCGCACGTTTTCCTGTATTTGTTAGTTTATGATAAAAATTAATAATAATAGTGATATATTGGTAAATGACGTTTGTTTAATTGAATAACAGTTTACTTCATTTCGCATCGTAATTATTGCAATTGGAAATTTATATGACAATAAAAGTTGTTCGTTACCGTTTCAATGTAACGAAATAGGTGTCGAAAATTGAGAAATGAATAATTATAACGAATTACAACTCGCATTCCCTCTTTTGTGTACCAAGTATATCCATGTTATATTACGGAGAACACTGACCTGTTTATAATTTCCTTACTACTGTACATAAAATGATTTTAATTTTACGAAAAAACCTGGGCTCACTCATGTATCGCAAGACACATTTCCCCAAATAATATATACTGACCTTGTTCATTTCCATCCGTTAACTATGATTTAATTTAAAGGAAAAGATAAGAACTTAGCTCTGGCATGATCAACAGTAATACGTAAATAAATGTTTCTTTTTTTCCTTATTTACAAGAGGGAATCTGTTGCAGGTGCCTCACATCACTCCAGACCCTGACGTCCCTAATCAGTTATTCAAGCACTAGGCTACCCTGTCGGAAGCCGCACCACTTAAGTTTGGTTGCTGCTATTCGCCTCCTTCCTGAAGTTCGTAAATTTTAACTTTTCGAAATGAGTTTAGTTTTCAACGCCACTGTAACATTAGTTCCTGGCCAGCAATGTTTCCCGCATTTGTTTAATGAGTCAACTGACTGTAAAGGCTATTTACAACATCGCCTGATACTTGTGTTTAAACTCCCACCAGCAAGTTACGTCAGCATATTCTCCAGCATTTTCTGTTAATGGTTAATTTTTCATTATGTTCGCGGTGATTTAACCTTCAGCTCTAGCTTATACAGAACACACCAACGACGTCCGTGATACACAGCTGACAATAACTCGT